AAGTATGATTATTTCAGTCTCCGAATTTTCGCGCAGTTTTTTGTAAAGTGCAGACTGAGTGGATTTTCATATAATTTACGTTAATGTTTAGAAAGAGGGCGGAGCTAGAACTGTTTGGAATGTTTACCGCATAGGTTAATATTAAAATGACATCATCAGAGAGGAATCTCCCATTCCGGACAGGGTTTTGGGGTTCCGCCCTATACCGGAGTGACGTGTTGTTTGCGCGAACCAGCATTATAATTCTCTTTCCGCCACTTTTTCCGCGCTCCACAACAGTTTCCACTGTCTCTACCTTCCCGTTGAGTAGTTGAGGGTCATATTGCCATTTCCCTCATTCGGGGTTCGAAAACAACAAGAGCTGCTTACTCTCTTTATGGGCGAACGGTTCAATTTCTGTTGAAGGACGGCAGAATAAGAAAAAAAGGATAGAGCGAATGAGAGGGTGGAAATTTGGGAAGCTGATGAATGAAGATCTCTTCTTAAATACTCTGAGAGAAAAATCTTTCAATGGGCTTTAACGATGTACTAATTAGGGTTGTATGGGATAGCCTCCCATCAAGGATCAAAAGGAGGAAGAGGCCCATAAGTCTCTAGAATCAAATGGGAAACGCAGGAACAAAAAACTGGGGAAAAAATTTTTTTTCGAAACCGAAACCTCCAGAAGCCTGTTGGTGCGGGAATGACCGAGGCGTCAAAATCACACAGAAAATATTTTTTATCCTTCATCATCATCAACATGATGCTCTTCTTCTCAAGTCACTTCAGTTTTGTGAGCCCCCTGCTGGCCACAAAACACGTGAGGATTAGACGGACACAGCAGAAAAACGAGTGTCCATCGCTTTTTTCTTCTCCCGAGTTTTCTTCTTCTTCTTTTCAGCTTTATCGTGTTCTTCGCCGGATTTGCACTTCTTTCTCTATTTTTCACCCATTTTTCTATCTTCTCCTCCCATTTTTTATCCGTCTGTCTGTCTATTGAAAAAAAAGGCACAGAGGGAATGAAGTTGAAGTTCGACGAGGGTGTCGAAAACGATTAGCGGTGGTCGCATCGGAAATGAATAGCACGGGAACCGGGAAAACGAAAATTGGATTTCCGGTGAATAGGAATTGGAGGTTCAGCTGAGGAAGAGAAAAAAAAGGTAAACGGGAAAAACTAGGTTATCGGAGGGAGTATATGATGGGAAAAGGAGAAAATTGAAGAGGTTGGGAATCAGGAAAATTAGAAAAATCATTTGAACCCAAAATGATGGTAAAAAGGAGTTCAAAACAGATAAAAATTATTAAAGATGTTCAAAGTTTGTGAAGCTTGACTTCTGGCTCGGTTCCTATGCCTATATTTCTTTCAAATTCAGCTTTTAGTCAAAAAATTCAAAAATTAAACCGAAAAAAATCAGTTTTGACTTTTCCGCGAGAAGTACTAATTACAAGCGATAGAGCGCCTTTGCATTTTCGGCAAAAAATACTTTTTTAACGAGAAATTCGAGCTGACGGCGTCATTTAACACCTTCAGGTGTTGATTAGACTTTAAAATAAGCATGAAAATCTTAAAAGTGCAAACAAAAGAAAATAGTAATGCACAGAACTCATGAAAACGCCCTTTTTGAAATTCAGAAAA